TATGGTTGTATGCATAAACTATGTGTTTTTCTAAAATAATCTTCACTGCTCCCCACTCCTGTAGGAATTCAGAGCCTCTGAACTGCTTCGCAGTGGACTGGACAGATCTAAATACCTTTTGGTGAAAGAAGCCAAAATTATTGCCATGACCTGTACTCATGCTGCCTTAAAACGACATGATTTGGTCAAGTTAGGTTTCAAGGTAAAGACTTATATTTTAGTTCCTTAATACATCACATCTATTCAGCTGTTAGTTTTTTTGTTTCCTTACTTTTTATTTTTAGATTACATAGGCCATTTGCCTTGGAGATCGACTCGCTTCTTATTGAAGTTCTCATTTATAATCATTTAAAAATGTCTCTTTTAAAAGTGGTTGGTAATATCACATGTTTATGTGATTAGTGAACTCTAAATCTAATTTTTCTAAACCTAGTTATTGGTAACATGTCCATTAAGTAACATTATTACCATCATAAATTTGGTTGTCTGTCCAAATTCTCATACTTATTAAGATTTTATGTATACTAAGTATCACATATTTAAAACTATGCAAACAGAACTAAAAGCTATGAAAATAGCGTTTCCAATGGTTTTCACCTGTTAGACATCTGTATGCTTGCATTGTTCATATATTAGTCGTACAACCAGTCCCTGTTATTTTTTCATTCAGTAAATGAAAAGCCTACCATATGAGGCTATGGAATACTATTATTTAGACTGTAAAATGAGATATTAAAATGACTTCATCATATGATAAATACAGAGGGAAAGCATGATAGCCCATTAGCCTGCGACTCATTTGCAGTGGAATGTAATGATTGAGCAGTAAGTTTGAATTTGCAAACCCTTTGTGACTTTGCTAGTGATACTTACCTGAACTCTGATTTTAATACAAATTATTTAACTCCTCTGTAACTGGTTTATCTGTTGTTTAAAATAAGATTTGTGTACTGGTTCGAATTTGAAATTAGCAGTTTCATTTGTTGTTGAAAGTAACTGACAATTTTAAAATGTTATGAGCTCACTGAAAGGTGCTAAATAAATTCAAGGTGATAGAATTGTTATCTTGGATGAAAGGTTCCTCAGCTGCAAGGTAAGACAAATATGATAATTTATTAAAAGATAGTGTGAATTTACCCAAGTGGTGTGAACTTACCCTTTTGCAAATTATTGTGAGAATTTTTCACCTAAATATTTTGTTCTTGGGACTTTGAATTCAATATTAAATCATATCAATCTAATAACAAGGGAAAATAATACAGTCATAATTAGCATTTTTGCTTTTATGTAGCTTTTCACATGTATTCTAAAAAAATTACTTGAGGCTTATTAAATTTTCATTAATCATTTTCTATACTTAAATCAGGCTATACACCTAAAGACAGCATGAGTGCTGATAGGTTTTTTTATATTTTTGATTTTGAAGTTTTATTTTTATCAAACTTAAGCTTTTAAAAACCTTCTAGATCTACTTAACATAAAAAAGGACAGTCCCTACTTCCCTGATCTTCCCCAGTTATCCAGTCCTTCAACTCTTAGTATTTCTTCTGTCCTTTTCATCTATATCAGTAAAGAATGTTAAATTTCCATTTTAGACATTGTCTTTTAGGCAATGACTTTGCCATTTTCAAGGATGTACACACACACACACACACACACACACACACACGCGCAGACGCACCTGCGTGCATACACTTTGCCTTCCTTAATACTCCCAACGTAGTTATATCATAATTTTGGATTGCATCAATATTGGGTGTTTACATTATTATTAACATGTAAACACTATCACATTCAAGCAGGGACATATACAATGGTTACTTTTCCTTTCATGCATAATTTTTTGTTTTCTCTGCAATTACTGTCATAGTTTTATTGTTGTTTTTGTTTGCTTGTTTTCTGTTTTACCACCATTTCAAGCCAAAACTCTCCTTAGTTTTAAATCTCTTCTCAGTACATTTAAAGACATCACATACATGTTCTTGGATACCTCTCTCCTGGATTCTCCTGACCTATTAAATATTTCGGTTCAGATGGCATCCATTCTAAGCCTTTGCCTTTCCGTAAGTCAGAGTCTCTGTTTCCTGCATTGCATGTCTTTCTCTCATTTACTTTAGTGGAGCACATCTTCCAGTATCTTTCATGTGAAAGGATGAATAGGAAGTCATATATTTAAGACTTGCCACATCTAAAGAACGTCTTTGGTTAACCCTCACATTTGATTAGCATGGCTAAGTATAGATTTCCAGATTGGAAATAATTTTCCTTCAGAATTTTGCGGAATTGTTCCACTTTTCTCTAGCTCCCAGTGTGGCTATTGAGAAGCCCAAAGCCATTCTGATTTTTTATGTTTTATTTCACTTTTTTCTTCTTTTGGGAAGTTTTGCAATACTCTCTTTGTCCCTAGAGTTCTGAAATTTCACAGTGGTATGTCTTGGGGAAACAGAGGAGGAAGTAAGATCTGTTTTGACTCTTATTTCCTGGCTCCCATGTATACAGATTTTGACATAATTCCCATTTTCTGTAAGGTACTCCTTTCTGATCCCACCGTCTTAACTCTGCCTGCTTCTTCCAAGTCCCCAGATCCTCTCCAGACACTCTGTCTTCTATTGGGAGTGAGAGAGGAGGGACATTCATTTGGTTTCCTAAAGTGGGGAAGTCTAACTGCTTCTTTTAACCAATCCTATGTCATGTCCAGTGTTATTTTAGGGAGTTCCCAGAGGTAGTGGCAATCATTACGTGTTCAGTTCATCACCTTTTAGCAGAAGTCTGTCACTTTTGTTTGAATTTCTATGTTGTTAAATTCCAATTTATTTCTAACACAAAGGTAAATGTTAGTTCTGATTTGCATATCTGTTTTCTGGGATTGAAAATATGATTTTGATCATCTTAAACCCATTTCGAGTTGTAGAAATTGTAGAAGGAAATGTATTAGAATAATAATCAAAACAACAACAAAATAGCTATCCTTTGTTGATGTCAACTATGTACCAAGTCCTGTGTACACCAGGCTTTTTACAATAATTTCTTTGTTTTCTTTGCAACTAGATTTTCATGCATGATATCTTCATTTTATAGCTGAGAAAGTGTGACTCAAGAGAGATGATAGAGGCACAGGTAGTCAGTTATAGAACTAGGATTAAAACATGGTTTTCTAAGAATCCAAAACCTGTTGCGTTCTTCCTCTTAAACCACCCTGACCTTATCCCAGTAGCTATATTCCACTAAAGATTCATAGAACTGTGGTAGCAATGGCTACAGAATTTAGGAATCTCTAAAAGGTTACAATAAGCTAGCTCCTAACTTGGTCTCTAGTATGGAGCATCAAGTGCCAACCCAGTATTTAGTATCTTAGTAGGGATTAGTAAGGGTCAAAAGAATGAATGATCTAGCAATGGTATACTTGGAAGAACTAGCTAAAGTGCTGATAATTTTGGTTTGGAATTAAAATCTCCTTTTTAAAAAGCAAAATCTATAAATATGCTTTTATAAGTTAAATTGCTTTGGGTTTTCAGAAAACAGGCCGTTTAAGCTGTCTTCTTTTGAGCTGCTCCTACAGTGTTTTGCATGTAGTATCTATTATCCTGAGAGTCCATACAGGGACTTCTTAGAAAATATGGCTCTTTGAACTCCTCCGCCTCTTCAGCTCCCACCAAAATGACCTGATCATTATAAGAGAGAAATTCAACATCATATATAGCTAGAGCAGAGACCCATCCACATACCTAAACCTTCAGGTTGTTTTAGTAACAAGCAGTGTAGTTAATGTCCAGTGGAATCCAGCCCAGTTACCAGTCCTGGACAAATACTGATACAAGCATCTTTTGGTAAACACAAGTAGCATAGAAATTACAGGATATAGTCTACGGCCATACCACCCTCAACGTGCCCGATTTCATCTGATCTCAGAAGTTAAGCAGAGTTGGGCCTGGTTAGTACTTGGATGGGAGAAATTATAGGATATATAAACAATTAGTTTAAAAGAGGAGAGTTAATCAAGCATTTAAAGTAAATACGCTCCTCCTACCCTCTGCTTCTCTAGAAAATAAAATAAGGGGAGAAAACTTTATAAACAAAAAAACAAAGGAACTTTTAACGTGCACTTGGTGAGACTCATGAAGAAGATACTGTACCAATAAAACAAGAAATAGAATGTTATACTAAGTAGCAATCAGAATTAGAAGTGAAAGAAAAGATAAAGCATGTTGAAAACAGATCTAAAAGAGAATTGGGCAGATAGAAGAGCAGTAATTATCAAGGAATGAAATTGCCTTATGTTTGAGAAAGACTTCATTTTTCATTGTGTAGCACCTAATGTTACTGGGCTGGGGAGAGGATACAGGCGTTAAGTAAATATTGAAGATAGAATTACAAAAGGAAAAAAGTGACAGATAACGTAGGAAAGTCAGGGACCAAATTGAATATAAGCCCTTGTTAATACATCCCTGCAGGCCATTTTAAGGGATTTTTTTAGTGGGATACCAGTGAAGGGTTTGAAACCAGCAGGTGACATGATTCCTATGACTGTTGTATCTGTGGCTTAAAGTCATCAAGACAGGAAAAGGATGGAGTTGGAGGGAGACTGCTGGCAGTAGTCATAGTGGTGGCTTCGACTTTTAGAGTGGTAGTGCTGGTAGAAATAGAGAAAAGTGAGTAGACTAGAGGGAATTTTGAAGGTAAAATTGATATGTTTTGGTGATGGATTGAATGCCCAGGGGTGAGACAGAGTGGATTGATGTGATGCATAGGATACATAAGGAAAAAAAATTACCCCAAATACTACCCAGGGTAAAAGTACCAATGGGAATGACCTCATGTATAATTATAAATTGATTGTTGCTGAGACAGAATTTAAAGAGCTAAATCAATACTGCAATCCAAAAAATGATATGTGAGATCGCCTCAATGTAGAGCAATATACTTAGGGGGCTTTCCTGAGGATTAAAGACTTGAATTGGAGATCATTTAACGATGAATGAGATCATGAACTTCCTGTTTGAACAATTTGTATGTTGTTATTTTTATCTGAAATTATTTGGAGGTTTTAGGGGACGGTTGTTATGGTTGTAGTGGTCGTCATTTGTCTTTAAGCTATATTTTTGACAACCTTCCGCTTTTTGTCTTTCTCAGTATGACAACATTTTAATGGAAGAGGCTGCTCAGATTCTGGAGATAGAAACTTTTATACCTCTTCTTCTACAGGTAAGAAATTAAGATCTAGACAAAGAAAATAGAGTTTTAAGAATTTTGAGGGACAGCATCAGAAAGCTATACCATTTGGGGTTGCTTATTACCACAAATTATATATTTTCCTTAACTTCATTATGTTTGGTATTCTATTTTAAGCCTGTAAACTTCCTTTCATCTATTCACTTATTTCTAGGAGTACTATTTAAAACTTCATAGTTTATCTATAAAGTAGTTTTGAAAAGACTTAGTCATTTTAATCAAGAAAATTACATTGTTATGCAGTTCAGAGGGAAGATAAGCTGTTTCTTCATTTCTTTTGTTATAATTGTTTCTAGAATTGTTTTTATGTTCTCTGAGGACGTTGCTTTTCTTTATGCCTAAATTTTTAGCTAAATGTTTAAGAATGTTTCTTACTGTACGATATTTTTTACTATTGAAGCATTAAAAACAAAATGTGGAATTCCCAATTTAAGAATAAAGACTGCTCTGATCCACAGATAAATTGAGTTCCAAAAGTTGTTTTTATAAACCAGATTATTTGCAACTTGGAATGTGTTTTATCAGGATATATTTCAAGGAACAAGGAGATACATAGAGCAGTAAATTGAAGAGTAGTGTAGAAAGTTAAAGAAGGTACAGTTTTTACTGCCTTGGTGAGTTCAGAACTGGTGGGTTCAGCATAATTGTGAAACAAGGTGTTTACTTTGCATTTTTCTATTTCTCTTCTTGGGCTTCTGTTTCCTTCTGTGTACTCTTTGCCTAGTGCTGACTTCAGCCTTCCAGACGTCTTTGGATTACTCTGCCTGTTAGAGTAGAGTAATTCCATGCTTGACTTCCCAATCCCTCCCCGCTCCCTCACCCACTATCAACCAAGAGCAATGAAATCCATACTTGATGCATGAGTTGTTCTATAAATTTGGCAAACTCTTCTGTGTGGAAGTGGTAAAGATTGAGAATCTGTAAGCTAAGGAAGCCATTTGATGAAGAGTGAGTCTTTGTGTAATAAGTTGGAGACTAACAGAATAATATATTATTTTGCCATTTCCTCACCTTGCATTTCTAGAATCCTCAGGATGGATTTAGCCGACTGAAACGATGGATTATGATTGGTGATCATCACCAGTTACCTCCAGTCATTAAGAACATGGCCTTTCAGAAGTATTCAAACATGGAGCAGTCTCTCTTCACTCGCTTTGTCCGTGTTGGAGTTCCTACTGTGGATCTTGATGCTCAAGGGAGAGCCAGAGCAAGGTAAAGGAGACAGAAAAACAAAATCACTCCTATTTAAGGACATTTAGTTCCATGATCCAAGTATTTGTAAACATCTTTTATATAGACTTTAACATTCTCTGCTGTCCTGGAACTTGCCATCTACAAATCTGAAAGTACCTTTATTGCTTTCTGCATGAGATACGAATTGACCAAATAAATAATTTCCTTCATTTTAGTCATTGAGGTTAATTTAAGTGACTTATAATCTAAAGGCTTCTTTTCACTGTCCCTTCCCCTTTCTTCATGTCCCCAAAAGATATAATTAGTAAACGAGCACTTTCACATGTCCTCCCCAAGGTAGTGGGGCCAGGATTTGGTAGCTGGTGCTGAGACAAAACCCTTGATTGTGTCCTTGCCCTGGGACTGTACCAGTGGCAGCTGTCACTCAGTGGTACAGAGACCATTCTGTGACATCTTACTCAACTTTATGCCTTTCTCCTGTTACTCTAACCTTAGGCTCTCTTTTCCCCTTTGTATCCTTTGCCATACAGAAAAAAGAAAAGATAAAAAAAAAAAAGATATAGAGCACAGACCCCATCTCATAGTTACTCCTAAATTGTTCTCAATTTACAGAGTCTTCCAATAATTTTTTAACTTAAGAAATTAAAGGTAGCATTTACTCAGCACAGTAGAGTTATCATTTTTATAATGTCTTCAGTCTTCTGACCCTTGGTTTATTGAAGTAGGGAGGGTAAGGTTGAAAAAGCATTATGGCTTAAAATGTGAGCAAAAATGAGTAACATGAAAATTAAACGGAAGCACAGTCCCTCAGAAACCTGATGTATATTAAAAGGGATTTTACGTCACTAATGTTTCCTGTTGGGGGGGATTTGTCTTTGGAAAGCTTGTGCAATCTCTACAACTGGCGTTACAAGAATCTAGGAAACTTGCCCCATGTGCAGCTCTTGCCGGAGTTCAGTACAGCAAATGCTGGCTTGCTGTACGACTTCCAGCTCATTAACGTTGAAGATTTTCAGGGAGTAGGAGAGTCGGAACCTAATCCTTACTTTTATCAGGTAAGAAAAAACATGAAGCTTTTAAGTTTATTTTGCATTTGTCTGACTGAAGTAATACCTAAATCAGTGATGTTGAACCATTTGGCTAACCCTTGAAAAAAAGGAAAATTAGAGCCCCAGCTTATACACAACACACACAAAAATCAATTTCAGATGGAGAGTCGGAACCTAATCCTTACTTTTATCAGGTA